TTTATTAAAAAGTATATGTTCTTAATTCTGTGATTAAAGTTCTTTATTTCAATTTCATTATATTAATAAAATGAAATTAAAGGCTTTAGGTAAGTTAATCAATCGGAGCCAAGTGGTTTATACCTATCTGGGGGCAATTTAGGGACGTCCCCGCTTTGCGCCAGAGTGAATTCAATGTCATTTATGTACAAAATGGGCTCATTGTCTTTGTGTTGGGATCGAAAAAAAAGATTATGAGATCATGTTTATTTGTAAATTGTGTTCCTAAAATTATTTTTAAGTTTTTTCATTACATTTAAAAACAATTTATATTTGTATTTTTATTAAGTAAATTTCTACATTTAAGAATATTAATGTTTTTTTTTTTTTTATAAATAATTTATTGCATTTGTAAAATTTATTAAAATATAAGAATCTAAATGATTTTTTTTTTTTTTATGTACCCATTTTAAACTGTAACTACTAGTAAACTGTACTTTTATTATAACTACAACCTAAAGGTTGTGTAAACAAAATTTGAAAGGAAAAAATTGATATTTAAGTGAATTACAAACCTTCAGACATAAGCGTCCCCACGTTGCCTCGTATTCCTCTATGTTATGATAATACGGTAACAATTGATGAATATTGATCGAACCGCTAGCGGGAAAACGCTCCAGTGTGACATCACCGTCCATTTAAATTAACGTTTTTCGATAATAGAGTCGGGTTCCCGCGACTCGTGTATTTAACGAATATTCGCTGTTCGTTGATATACGTCGAGTAATGGGAACGGTGTACTTGTACGATGGTCGGTATTCGTTATTCGTTAATCGTCACTCGCCGCCTTCCCACGGATTTTCGGTAAAAGCGACACGAGTCAAAGGGATTTTTATCAGTGATATAATAATCGCGGCAGCATCCCGCAATCGCGATTGCCGATTATTTGAATACTCGTCCATATTCGTCAAATGCACGAGTCGCGGAACTGGTCTACTTGGGGGCGATTCGTGTAATTCGCCGATTGGTCGGCTATTCGTGCAGTATATTCGTCAAATGCACGTCAATAGCCGTGGGAGCCCGACTTAACATGCGTTTTGGGAATGTTCTGCATTTGGGCGGCTGAAACGCCGCGTGGTCGCGTCGAACCGCGGTCGATAGCATGGCTAACGCGCGTCGCTTGGCGTGGTGAACGCCCGTTTTGGACAGTTTCGAAAATTCCGAAAATAACGCGGTGACGGTCGAAACGCGCGGGTTTAAACCGCTGTTTACGGTGCGACCCTAATAATACCTACCACTATAAGTCATACTGTAACAACAGGAGAGGCGACGGTAGGTTAGGTTCACAATATAATATATTATGAAGACGTCGTCGGCGGTCCGCAACAGCCTTAAAACTTATCCGTTTTATGATCACGACTCTACGAAAGCTTTTACGTTTATATTTCCAAAGGTTTATTAGCCTATGAAAATATAAATTTGATCGGGAGATTATTTCCGAAATACGGTTTATTATTGTACTCACTTTGCACAATCGTGGGTACCACTGCCGGATTTAAACATCCCGAAACGAAATACTATTATTGTAATATACAGAAACATATAAACGGATATCTACTACGTCACAATCGTCAACAACATTAATTAGCTACTGTTACAAAAAAATCGAAGGGTTCCGAACAACAACCTGCAGACGGCTTGTCTGATCCGCTTAGATCCGCTTTAAAAGTAAAATTCACCTTTTTTTAAAAAATTATTCAGAATAAGAAAAATTAGTTTAGACTTGTCTTCTGGTATACAAAATGTATTCAGTTACGATGGAATTATCTAATCCGTTTAATAGGACTCATTCGGTCTGTGTATATAAATTTAAAATGTCGACAAGTCCGCTTGTCCACTTTGTCTATATCTCCTTATATATCAACTATAAAAAAATCTCTATTCAAAATTGCCAAAAAACATAATTTTCTGAAAAAAGTTCTGGAAAAAAAATGGACCCATCTGGTTATTATGGTAGTACGGAGCCCTTTGGTTTTAAAAATATAATTCTCTTTGAGTCGTCACATAAACTACCATACGTAAACGACAATTTGTATTTTTTAAATAAATAAAATATAGGAGCTTCTATGAATCGCAGAAAAAGCACTTTTAAACCTCCGCCAATAGACCATTGTACAGTATACAAACGATTTGTGTACAAAAAAAAAAACACGTGACTGTGTCTACTATTTACATAAGTCCGACAACGGCAGAAAAATCTCCAGTTTACTTCCGTTCGAACGCACTACATTAAATGACAAAGGGGAATTATATTCCAATGTAATAATATATGAGTACATTAGATAGTAAAAATAATGAGGATTACGAAAATGATGGAATCGGTACTATCGGTGGCGACGGTCCCGGATGTTACGTCCCACTCCCGCCTCTCCCCGGAGTACGATAACGGAAAAGTATTATAGCATCAAAGAAAAAATGTTTAAACACATAAAATACGGGTGAAACCCGATTGCGAACGTTTTACCTTTTTTGTAACACGATTGCGAACGAATGACGCTTATCAAGGACTTTTTTTTTTGCCGAAAAACAAACGATTGCGAGCGTTTTTTAGGCAACGTTGCCAAGTTTGCATATTGTATAATTTCTACCTATCGAGTCAGACAAGACTATGCGAAATACACTTATGTTTACACTTAGCATCTATTGGTAAAAATAAATAAATACAAGATGGAGAAAGAACCTAAATAATACTTGTAAATTAGAACAAAAAAAATATCAGTAAAACAGTACTCATCTAAAATTAATACCACTAACCAGGAGCGACTCAAAGGAAGTATACTTGAATCACGTGATTCACAAAAAAAAAACGGTTGGGTGGGGGTTGAGTGACTATGGGTGTTGAGAAAAATAACGAAAATTATTATTTTTACAAAACAAAAGTCATAAAAAGAATTTCAGACTACGGAAATTTGATAAATTTAACGAATTTTATTGAAATTTATGATAGGGTGGTGGTATTTTTTAATTGGGAGGCTAGGTGGTAAATAGAAAATTAAATCGGTGATTCTAACTACCACTCACTCACGAAGTATATTATACCCAAGTGATAAATGTAGATAATAATTATTGTGTAAAAACTGATTAAAATAATGATAGAAATTCACAGATAATACATATATTTTATAAATATTATATTACATAGGTATTATAATATTATCTATACCTAAACCTACTGCACAAAAATCATCCTACAAACATTTTATTGATTCGATAATTTATTGGCACTATAATTTTTATTGGTTTCATATTAAGTATTTTCATAATAGATAAATATTAAAAAGCGTTGCACAAATTATTATAAATTTAACCACATACCATAACGGTCTAATGATCTAAAGCCGTGGTTGATAATAGATAATTGATAAAACGAAATCAATTTGTCAGTAAATTGTTAATTTATTCATAGATTTATTATTAAATTATAATTTTTGGCTCAATGACTGAAATGAATAACAATACTAACATTTATATTATTCGATAGGTATATACGTTGTTTTAGTAGAATTTCTGACACATCAACGATAAACTCATCTTCAGACGAAGAAAACTCAATTATATCCATTATAATAAATTATTATAATAAAACAATCTATGTACTTGATCAAATAACAATGAAAAATCTCATATTTCTATCAAGTTTTAACTTTGATAAATTTCAAATTATCGAATCAATATCACTTATTTAGCCGAATTATTGTTGCATACTGATAGAAATTAAATAATTGTATGTATGCTCCCTTTCCAACTTCTTTCCAACAACAGTGCACCCCCATCAGCAGAATCAGCTCTTTTTTTTCACTTGCATTGTAAAACTTGTTTGCAGACAAATATATATCTATTTCAGTACAATTATTCAATTGTAGGTATATTCATACCTAACATTTTCTAAAAGCATATAGACCATCTTATTTACTATTCAGTATTCATATGTTTATCAAATTTTACTACAAAAGTAGATGGGTAGTTTTGAAAAAAAATTACAAGACCTACATAATGTGTTATTTTATTTTGTACACAGTATACGCTTTATCATTGTTATGACAAAAGTCATTTTTATATGGTTTATCATCAGACTTGTGCGTTTATCCCTGTTTTATACGGCTTCCATAGAAACGGTGGTTTTACGTTTCTTAAAGTCGATTTTTCCAAAATGCATTACTACACGAATACAAAGTACAATACATTTGAACAATATTCCAAACGTATTAAATGTTGATTTTCCTTAAAATGCAACTTTTTTTTTTTTCCTGCCGATTGCCGCTGTTAAAAATTATCATTTTCAATAACTGTTACAATACAAATCGATTTATACTTTGTTACTTCCTAGATGACTAGGGCAGTCGTATTGTTTATCATAATTGATAATAGTATAAGTGATATGTAATATAATATCTTAGCCCTTAGGTCATATAAAAAATATAAAATGCATATGATCTAAGTATAGTATTCAATAAATACTTATGAACATTTAACTAACTAAGTACATTCAACTTACAACGTTATTGCAAATAAATAGGTAAAAGGGAGTAGGGGAATGGAGCGTTGGAGTTGATGGTTGGGAGGGAGTTACCATAGGTAGGTATTTAATTTGGCACGATCAACGTGGTGCGTGAGTTAACTTTGATTGGGTCGGAGAGGTACAACTATTAGTGATCCAGAAGAAGAAAAAAACAACACATTTATTATTAGAGGGACGCAGCGACAAGACAATTTTTAATTTTTGTCTATATATTCGTTTAATACTGTGCACGGGACAGCTAGTATTATATAAAATATTATTTATTATCCTTCGTCACATTTTTCTTATGATAGAATGTAACCTAACCACTTCTCGTAAACGTTATATTAGTATATTACCATTGATTATGTGATGTAACAATATTATTACCTATTATGTTATAAAACTAATGGTGCCTATACTAAACTATGATTACAGCTCATCCGGAGATCTGGATTATATAGGGTTTTTCAATAAGAGCGGGTCGATGTTGAAATGAAATAAAACAAGCTATGTGCGAGGTATTAGTGAAATTTTTTTTTTATTTTAAAGTTCTAAGTATGCCAATTATGTTTTAAATATAATATCGTTTAAATGTCCGCCACGGCTTCTCACAGTGGCACGAATCCGAGTGGTCCAATTTTCAATGACTCTGCCGCATAGATCCGGTTGAATTTGAGCGATGGCCTGGGTTATGTTCACTTTAAGGTCATCTGTCGATTTCGGCTTATCGGCATAGACCTGCGACTTCAGGAAACCCCACAAGAAAAAGTCTAATGGGGTCAAATCACACGATCTTGGTGGCCAATTCATGTCTCATCGGCGAGAGATAACCATACCCTTAAATTTGCCGTTCAGAATGGTTATCGTGGCGTTGGATGTATGGCACGTAGCGCCATCCTGCTGAAACCACATGTCGTCTACGTCCATACCGTTCATTTTGGGAAAAAAAAAATCGGTTATCATCGTTCTGTATCGCTCACCATTGACGGTGATGGCCTCACCAACGTCATTTTCAAAAAAGTACGGACCAATGATACCGCCGGCCCAAAATCCGCACCAAACNCGGCTTATTGGCATAGACCTGCGACTTCAGGAAACCCCACAAGAAAAAGTCTAATGGGGTCAAATCACACGATCTTGGTAACCAATTCACGTCTCCTGGGTCAGTTGGATCTTATACGAGTGTAAGCCCAAGTCCCGGCGCAAAATTCGCCAAGTTGAAGACTGTGAAAGACCGACTTCTTGTGCACGGCGAGGAATTGACTGCCTCGGGTTCTCCTGCACACTTTCACGTACCGCGGCGATATTCTGGACCGATCTTTGATGTAGGGGGATGTTAACTGATCGTTTACCGTACCAGTTGTCTCAAATTTCGACACCNGTTGAAGACTGTGACAGACCGAGTTCTTGTGCACGGCGAGGAATTGACTGCCTCGGGTTCTCCTGCACACTTTCACGTACCGCGGCGATATTCTGGACCGATCTGGCGTTTCTTTGACGTACGGGTGTTAACTGATCGTTTACCGAACCAGTTGTCTCAAATTTCGATACCAAACGTTAGATAGTCGACTTTGAAGGACCACTACGTCGGCCAAAAAATGGACGTAAGGAGCGCAAAGTTTGAACTACCGAACATTTATTTTGATAATAAAATTTTATAATTTGGACGCGGTGCTCTATAGTGTAACTAACCATGATGATTTGGCATTAGTGACTGAATAATAAACAATAAATTAGACAGACTTCAACAAGACGATAAGACTATACAGCGCAGATAAGATCGGCCCGCTCTAATTGGAAAACCCTATACATTCAACACTGATTGACGATGATACAGTGGGTAATTTTAACAAAGGATTAGAAAAATAACTATTATATTATAAGAACCACAATCGTATACAAATAATTTTTAAATGTTCTTTTGAGTAATTAAAAGTAAATAGGCGTAAAGTAATTGAAATACATTTTACTGTGGCTACACAAATATCCAATTCCACTTCTCAAACTCATGTAAGCATACTTCGACATACTTCGACATACTTCGCACGATGGGTGCAGCCACTGTTGGTGAAAATTTGGAAAGGTAGAATATAGAGGGGAAATTAATTTGTGTCTGTAAACAACGATAAACCATATTTCTAACGAAAAAAACGATTCTGAGCGCAGTTCAGTTGATATTGTTGCTTCGTCAATATTATATATGTCATAATTATGATGAAATAATTAAATAGGCATTGTATATTTTTTTTTAATAATATTTGTTTAACTGTACCGATTTTCCCGTTTTTTTCACATTTGCTGAAAAAACTCTTTGGAAAACTCCAAAAACGAACTTTCCAGTCAGGTTTCCTTCCAGAAAAAGTGCTATCATTATAAATCTGAGCAAAATTGGTGGTAGAAAAGTTATTTACAGAAAAAAAAATACAATCAGAAATTTTACAAGATTGACAACAAAAGAATTTGATCACTTGAAATCATTTACTGAGGCACAGGTGAAGAAAATGAGAACGAAATTTGTTGTGGTAAAGTGGAGATTTACTGTTCCACAAAAAATCTTTAACGCCATGCAATTGTATTAAATCACGACACTTTTCGTTGACCATAGTGGTATACGCGAGCGAAATAACAACGAAAAAACCGTTCCGAAACTCGTGAGCAATTAACTAAAGCTCCTTTGCCGAGTGCCTGAATATCGACACAAGTTGGCTCGCCACGCGTTCGAGGGTTTGCTGCACGGATTTTCGATACCCATCTTTACTCGATTTCAAAATTTTAGTTATGGAAAAAAAAAGAAACTTTACATTCATTTCTTCCCGAACACCCCTCTTTTTGCTAATCACATGTTGGCTTAGTAATATTCACTCTAGACTAAATATATTTAGTCATGTGGGCACGGTCCACTAGTTTATATGTCTGTGAAATATAAGTCTAAGGCCGTGATAGAATAAATATGCAATTTATTACACACCCTACTCCTCCAGTCTAAACTTTAGACTGGTTTTAGTTGATTTTTATACCAATTTTGTCTTAAAACGCTAGCTGTCTAGCCAAACAGTATGTACTGGGCGGCCTCAGAAAAACATTGATAAAACCTTTCCGTTCGGTATCCTTAATAATATCTTAATTCGTCGGCCACAGATATAGATAATATACTTTATCTATTATATATTGGACATGGTACACTTGATTTACTATAAATATATGTACCTACTACAACTGATGGAATGTTAATTTATATTTTCGTTTTTCAGGATTGGTCATGTTGATAAAATTAAAACATGTATTATCAATTATTAGAAGCGGTTGTCAAAACAAAAAAAATAAAAATGTTCGATTAAATCCACGATTCTCATTGTATTGAGCACGCTAAGCTCAGAAATTAAATTAATTTTTTATTCTAACTTTTTAATTCTTCACAAATAAATTTAAAAGTATTCAAAACAATCAATATTGGCTGGACTAAAATGTATTTAAGGTTAGGTTTCTAATTTAATGGGTTACCGCCATAATTTTAGATAGTACTATCTTAAATCGTGTTTACCACTGTGACTGAAACTTAGAACATATACTTAGATAATATACTATGGTTCACGGTCTTAGAAGTTCTTCTAAGACCGTGCTATGGTTTAGAGCTACTGCATGATAAACGTGTACAACGAGTTGAACAAGCCATTGTTAACAAATGCTAAGAGGACTGATATCTATTGCGCATGGGAATCAGTGAACTCGGAACTTATTAGGTTTTTTTTTTAAAATTACCTAATAATTTAAAAAATAAATATATATGCATATATTCTATTGAAAATAATTAACTTTTAACTATTATAACTATTATGATACTAATTAACAGCTTATATTATATTTTCATATATTAATTATTTAATATATTTTAAAATTATTAATATTTTTCTGTTTATTTAACGAATAAAATCAATCAAAATAATGGAGTATGAAAAAATGTTGACAAAGGGCACTATGAAAGCCATTATGAATAATGAAAATATCATTGAACCAGTTTTTCAAATTCTTGGTATTCCTGGGTTTGTAACTAATAACTTCTGCATAGAAAATTACAAAACTAAAGAACTTAGTGTCATATTATTGTTTATTAATAATGGCGGAAAAATAATTTTATCCAAGTTTTGTTCTACAACCTCCTTGAAATTTATATAAATGCTCCTATCAGCACGTTTCCCGCCTGCACTTTGTATGATATGTATTTTTTTTCCATTAATCTCATTTTCTCATAGTTGTTTTATTTGTTGATTTAATTGAATTTTGATATTTCATTATAATTTGATTTTGTATAATTTCGTAATTATTTATTCTCTCTTGATTTTTTTCAAGTGTATTACAATTACAACCAAACAATTGAAAAGGTAAACAATTATATTTTATATTATATTATTACTTTATTTCGTAAGTACATTTAATTCATAGGTTATTAAAAATGCATTTGCTTGCATGTATCACTTCAATTAACTTTGAATATTTTACTTGCCNCAATTTTAAAATGATATTATGTAGGTATGTTCATTTTTATATAATTAATAATTCATTATTATACTGCAATAAAACCTACTTTCGTGATTCGTTTTTGGCATAATTTGATTATTAATTTTGTAAATAATTCCTATTATTACACATTCACATGTTTACATTTAAATATTTTTTAAAATACTTAGGACTGGGTACACATCAGTCACAATTGTATTACAGCCTTGGTTCGTTTAAGAAAATGACACATACAGTGATAACAAATTATAGGTACAAGTCATGTATACTTATGTGAATTTCCACACCAATGGTGTGGTAGTAATGCTCAAATGGTGCGTTATACAAACTAGCCATTTATGTTGTTTTTTTGCATTAATTAAATAACATCTTATATTATCACTTTACTTATTAACTATTGTGTGTATTTAAAACTATTAATACTGTTCTATGTTTATTTAGAGGATAAATCAATAAAAATAATGGAGTATGAAAATTTGTTAACAAAAGGCGCTTTGAGGGCAATTATGAACAATGAAGAAGTTAACGAACCAGTTTTTCAAATTCTTGGTCTTCGTAAAATTACTGCTGTTGGAGCAAATGTAAAATACCGTCTAACTATTTCAGATGGTCAACATTTAACCTCTTTTACCATGTTAGCAAGTCAGTTACACAGTATGATTTTATCCAGGGAACTGAATGAATTTGCTATCGTAAAGATAAAACATCATATTATCAGTAAATTAACTGACCATAGTAAAGAAAAAAATCAATTCATAATTCTTAAAGATTTAGTTGTCATGGTACCCGGTAATGTTGTTTCATCAAAAATTGGTGATCCTAAACCAATTATTGATAATTCAGGCCATACAGTTGCAAATAAAATATATGCTTCAGTAAATGTTACTCCTACAATGCAAATTGAAAATTTGTTAACAAAAGGCGCTTTGAGGGCAATTATGAACAATGAAGAAGTCAATAAACCAGTGTTCCAAGTTCTTGGTATTCGTAAAATTACTGATGCGGGAGTAAATAGTAAACACCGTCTACTTATTTCAGATGGCCAAAATTTAAACTCTTTTGCCATGTTAGTAACTCAGTTAAACAGTATGATTTTATCTGGGGAACTAACTGAATTTTCTATTGTAAAGATAAAAGATCATATAATCAGTAATTTAACTTACCATAGTGAAGGTAATAAACAAGTCATAATTCTTATAGATTTAGTTGTCATTGTACCCGGTAATGTTGTTTTATCTAAAATTGGTGATCCTAAACCAATTGTTAATAATTCGGGCTATATGGTTACTAATAGAATGTCTACTTCAGTAGATGTACCGCCTACAACAGGAAATGATAATTTGCTAACAGAGCGCTCTATCTAAAAAAATCAATAAAACTATAATACAAAATAGTTGCATAGCGTACAAAATCGAACAAGACTTTTTCCTAGCATCATTTAAATTTTAAATGGATAGGTATTTATTAGGTTATTATTTTTTTAAATTAGAACATTTAAAAAAAATACATATATGTATGTATTATATTGAAAATAATTAACTTTTAACTATTATAACTATTATGATACTAATTAACAGCTTTTATTATATCTTCATATATTTATTATTAAATATATTTTAAAATTATTAATATTGTTCTATGTTCATTTAGCAGATAAAATCAATAAAAATAATGGAGTATGAAAAAATAATAATAAAAGGCACTACGAAAGCCAGCCATTATGAATAATGAAGAAGTCGGAACCAGTTTTTCAAATTTTTGGTGTTCGTAAAATTATTGCTGTAGGAGCAAATGTAAAATTCCGTCTACTTATATCAGATGGACAAAATTTAAACTCTTTTGCCATGTTTACAAGTCAATTACACAGTCTGATTTTATCCGTGGAACTGACTGAATTTGCTATCGTAAAGATAAAACATCATTTTATCAGTAAATTAACTGACCTTAGTGAAGAAAAAGATCAAGTCATGATTCTTAAAAATTTAGTTGTTACGATACCCTGTAATGTTGTTTCATCAAAAATTGGTGTCCTAAACCAATTATTGATAATTTATGCTATACAGTTGCAAATAGAATATCTGCTTCAATAGATATAATGCATGGTAATCGGTCAAACAGTCCGGAGTCATTTTTTTTTTACTTTCGGACATAAGAACGAGCTCATTTTTATTATTTGCCAAAAAATTATTGTTTTATTATTATTACTTATATACATGATTTAGATAAATCTATTATTTTTCAACTATATTTATACCATATTAAGAAAATTAAAAAAAAAATTGTTATTTAATGGATATTCATATACCTACGGTTTATCATAAATTTGTTTCAAGTATTTGGTGGAAATGTTCTAATAAAATTTCGAAAAAATGCCTACTTCAGTAACTTCCAATAGTAAGATGAAAATTATTATTATAAAGTGATTAATTTTTATATTGATTATTTTTGAAAACGTAACTTATTTTAAATTATTATTATTGTTGTAGAATGTAAAAATGTGCTCGGACTTTTTGTCCTCAGATTTCTTGCCCAAGATTTATAACGCCTACAACAAGAAATAAAAATTGTTTAACAGAATGCTCCTTGAGGACAAACTATGAAGAGTTACAGTAGTAGTAGTAATAAAGGAAGTAAACAAGTCATAATTCTTATAGATTCAGTTGTCATGAATTCTGATGATGTTGGATCAAAAGTTGGTGATCTTAAATATATAATTGATAGCTCAAATCAAATGAATAACCTGATCTGTGTCAGGATGTCTTAATCTTCAAAATGAATATCTTCTTGAATATTATATGTCTTCGTTAGTTTATTTTGTAAAATAATTAATTTATCAATTCTCACTAATTTTATATTTTTATTATTTTGTGTAATCTATTAATTACATATTTTGATATTTTTATACTTTATTTTTAAGATAAACAGCAATTGTATTCCATATCTGTTGGATTTATATGTACTTTATACTTTTAGGTAGCATACTTTATGCCAGAGGTTCTCAACTTTTTTTGCCTCACAGCACCCTTAATTATTTTCTAAAATTCCGGAGGCACCTTATAATCTATACAATATACTGAATATGCAGTAGTAATATATTGTGTATTTAAATTTATATTTTGTAACTTCGGGTTTATTTAGCTAGGTGACTCGGTTTAAACAAAAGTAGTAAGTATCTGGTATATACACATATTATATTTTATAAAACAAATTATTACATTGAACATTAATTATAGCAATTAAACCAGTATGAAAATTAAAATAGATTAAACATCACAATATTACTATGTACAAACTATATATATTATATAATTATAAACAATAATTTGTATACTATAAAGTTATAGTACTATAGTTTGTTTTATTACTTACAGTGCGCTACATTTTTCAAGAAGTTTTTTTTTTAAAAAAAAATATTTCAAATAATTTCAAGGCACCCTGGTTGGGAACCTCTACTTTATACACCCTACCAATAAATGCTTTCTATCGGGGCCAAATCTCCCAAGATAATGGTCTACTGAATCAGCAAAAGTTTAATTAGATTATATACCTCATTTGGACTATCATTTTTATATGAGATTCTGGATTTATCTCTGAACATTTATTACATGTATTATATTTTTTAGGCTGGAAATGTATATATTATCTAATTATCTGCTTATTTTCATGTAAAATTTATTGAAGTTTGTTGAAAAACATACACCAACAAAATTTGATTTTAGAATTTTGAATAGATTTAATACAAATTTGTTTCTATTTAATTACATATTTTTAAAAATAAACTGATGTATATATATTATAAATATTAGAATTATTTACATGAGTTTTAAAAATGAACTAAATTAATATTATTTTGTTATAATATATATTATTGTTAATGTATCGTATAGAGGACATCTGTCATTTTTTGCTATTGGTAGAGCACATTACAAGATAAACATACCATTTATAATATGTACAATACAAAATGCACTGATAGTATTATGTTAATTACCTATATTATGACTTGTTTTAATTTTACTTTAAATACAAACAAATTACAAGTTTATGACTTATGTTGTACAACTTAGTTTATTATTATGTTTGTTATTAAAAACATATCTTAAGAATCTATCTAATTATGTATCTCTTATAATTTGAATTGTTGAAGTTAAATAATTAATGTACTGTAAATTCATGTAATATGTATCATATGTATATTGCTTTATTGTCAGTCTATGAAATAAACAAAGTTTATGTTCATTACACAAAATAGAACTATAGCTTCTGATAATTATAACTCGATTCTGCATGTAAGCATAGACACAAATTGGCTCCTTAAGAGGCTTAGCAACCTTCAGAAATGTTTACTAATATTGAAAAAAGTATATCTAATAAAATAATTGGTGAAGAAATATATAATAATCTATACCTATACTAATATTATTATAAATATAAAAGTAAGTTTGTATATTTTCTTTTAACGTCTAAAATAATGAACCAATTTTGATGAATTTGGGTATAGAAATAGATGGGACCCAAGAAAAACACATAAATTACTTTTATTATTAATATTAATTATTTAAATAAATTTGTGAATTATTGCAATGAGAATTACAATGTTTAAAAAATAATATACATACCTAGTTTTCTTATTTCTATTAGTAAAAATATTTTAAGTCTAGTAGTTAACACTTAGAACAAAATTAATTTTTATTAATTATGAATTATTAATGAAATATTTTTCTTAGTTTGATTTGTTCTAAATCTAATATCATAGTAATTAATTTTTTGTCAAATATTTTCAATAAATCGTTGAAAAATGACATACCTATCTACTATGTACTTCAGTGTTTAGTTAATAATTTAAAATATTTTAATAGCAATAGGTAATGTTATATTTTATATTCTGAGAATAGTAAAGAATATTTTGGTTATACAAAAATGGTTTTTTTTTTTTATGTGAACACTACCAGAAAATTTATTCTGATATATACGTGTAAGAGATTTTTCTGAAAAAAAATTTTCTTGGAGTCGTACTATAAGGAGATCACTTTTTGATTTTCCAAGGAGTTTTCCCAATAAAAGGGAAAAGTGAGAAAAAACGGAAAAATGTACGAAATATATTAATAAAATAATATGATTTTTTTTTCTGTTGAAAAGACAACTTTTCAACCAGTAATTTATTTCCGATTTACAATAATAGCACTTTTTCTAAAAGTAAATCTGACTGGGCAGGTAGGTGTTTTAGAGAGGTAGTTTTTCCATTTTTCCATTTTTTTTCTCAATAAACGTAAAAAAAACGAAAAATAAACTGGAGATATTTTTTACATATTATTCTAAGCAGTATTTTAAAATAAAACTGTACTCACCGTAGTTTTAAAAGCTTTGCCACTTCAGAGCAAATGCACCCATGAAAACGGTCCTGGGTTTGTAACTAATAACTTCTGCATAGAAAATTACAAAACTAAAGAACTTAGTGTCATATTATTGTTTATTAATAATGGCGGAAAAATAATTTTATCCAAGTTTTGTTCTACAACCTCCTTGAAATTTATATAAATGCTCCTATCAGCACGTTTCCCGCCTGCACTTTGTATGATATGTATTTTTTTTCCATTAATCTCATTTTCTCATAGTTGTTTTATTTGTTGATTTAATTGAATTTTGATATTTCATTATAATTTGATTTTGTATAATTTCGTAATTATTTATTCTCTCTTGATTTTTTTCAAGTGTATTACAATTACAACCAAACAATTGAAAAGGTAAACAATTATATTTTATATTATATTATTACTTTATTTCGTAAGTACATTTAATTCATAGGTTATTAAAAATGCATTTGCTTGCATGTATCACTTCAATTAACTTTGAATATTTTACTTGCCCCAAATTCTTCTAGATATCTAATACATAATTATTACTCCAAACTATATTTGAATACTGTAGAAATTATTATTATGTGTGACAAATTCTTAACAATTAATGTCATCTTAATAAGACTGAACAATTTTAAAATGATATTATGTAGGTATGTTCATTTTTATATAATTAATAATTCATTATTATACTGCAATAAAACCTACTTTCGTGATTCGTTTTTGGCATCAATTTGATTATTAATTTTGTAAATAATTCCTATTATTACACATTCACATGTTTACATTTAAATATTTTTTAAAATACTTAGGACTGGGTACACATCAGTCACAATTGTATTACAGCCTTGGTTCGTTTAAGAAAATGACACATACAGTGATAACAAATTATAGGTACAAGTCATGTATACTTATGTGAATTTCCACACCAATGGTGTGGTAGTAATGCTCAAATGGTGCGTTATACAAACTAGCCATTTATGTTGTTTTTTTGCATTAATTAAATAACATCTTATATTATCACTTTACTTATTAACTATTGTGTGTATTTAAAACTATTAATACTGTTCTATGTTTATTTAGAGGATAAATCAATAAAAATAATGGAGTATGAAAAAATGTTAACAAAAGGCACTTTGCTAGCCATTATGAATAATGAAGAAATCAAAGATCCCATTATGCAAGTTCTTGGTGTTCGTAAAATTACTGCAGCAGGAGCAAATGAAAGATACCGTCTACTTATTTCAGATGGCCAAAATTTAAACTCTTTTGCCATGTTAGCAACTCAATTAAACAGTATGATTTTATCCGGGGAACTGACTGAGTTTGCTATTGTAAAGATAAAACGTCATATTATCAGTAATTTAACTGATCGTTCTAAAGGAAGTAAACAAGTCATGATTCTAATAGATTTAGTTGTCATGGTACCCGGTAATGTTGTTTCATCAAAAATTGGTGATCCTAAACCAATTGTCGATAATTCAGGCCATATGGTTGCAAATGGAACGTCTGCTCCAGCAGTTGCAACTCCTAAACCTCAGTCTAATTCTGTAAAAATGCCTACAGTTCAGTCTAGTGTGATAAACAATGGTCTCCAATCAGTTATTGATGTTGACAACATCCATCCAATTAATTCATTAAGCCCATATCAGAATAAATGGACTATAAGGGCTAGAGTTGTATGCAAGACTCCCATACGTACATGGAGTAATCAAAGAGGAGATGGTAAACTTTTTAGTATGGATTTAGTAGATGAAAGCAGCGAGATTCGTGCCACTGCTTTTAACAATGAGTGTGATAAGTTCTTTGATATGATTGAAGTAAATAAAGTATATTTTATTACGCGCGGTGCTATTAAAACAGCAAATAAAAAGTTTACAAATCTCGATAACGATTATGAACTCACTTTTTCTTCGGAAACACAAATTTTCCCATGTCATGACTTTGATGATTCACAAATGCCTGCTATGAAATTTAATTTTACACAATTGAGCCAAGTGAAAGATATGGATGTAGATAGTATAGTGGATATCATTGGAGTATGTCAAAATGCAGGAGACGTGACTAATTTAGTGTCAAAGACTACAAGAAAGGAGTTGCAAAAAAGAGATGTGACTTTGGTTGATCAATCATTGAGTTCGGTCACTGCTACCTTGTGGGGTACCCAGGCTACAGATTTTGATGGATCATTACAACCTGTAATTGCTATAAAAGGAAGTCGAATTAGAGAATTTATGGGCAGCAAATCACTATCACTCTTAGGATCCACTATAATGCAAATTAATCCAGACATAGAAGAAGCCCATCGTTTAAGGGGTTGGTATGATTCACTTCCTTCAAATGTAGAATTTAATAGTATTTCAACGCGTTCCGATGGTGGAATTAATACTAAATTCCTTACAATTAAAGGAGCTCAACTTGCTCAGCTCGGCAGTGGCGATAAAGCTGATTATTATAATATGTACTCTCATTTGATTTTTGTAAAATCTGAATCTGCTCTTTATAAAGCATGTCCTAAACCAGATTGCCAGAAAAAAGTTATTGATCGTAATGATGGAACATATCGTTGTGAAAAATGTAATGATGAAACAGAAAATTTCAAATATAGATTAATGCTTCAAGCTCAATTGAGTGATTCGACTGGAAACCAGTGGGTTACTATGTTCCAGGAAGCAGCTGAAACACTTTTGGGAACTACCAGTACAGAATTAGGGAGGTTGATGGAAGAAGCCAAGGAAGAATATTGTGATGTTTTTCAAAAACAGATGTTTAAACTGTTTGATGCCAGAGCCAGGGCAAAGATGGAAACTTATAACAACGAGACCAGATTAAAAGTATCTATAGTCAACATGAAACCAATAGACTACAAAATAGCTAATGAAAAACTGATTGCTGATATAAAACGTTTAAGTGGTATTTCAACATAAGTTATTTTAACACCATTATATTATGTATTTTGTATTGTCTGTTTTTGAAGTCACAATGTATTATATTCCTTATATATATATATTTATTTTTAGATAAGCATAACCTTTTTTGTATTATTTAAATAAATTTAGAATTAAATCACAATAATTATTACATTTTTCAATTAAAATTAATAGTAACAGCAGATTATAATTGATTACCTCATTTTAATTTTTATAAAAAAAAATATATGATTTAACAGTATAAAATTAAATTTTTTTTTCCTGAATATAATATGCCTAACCTTTAACACTAAACACTAGCCCAACAAATTGTTCGTAATGTAATGTAACTACTCCATCTTGATCAGTATCAAATTGGCGGAATGCTGTTGTTAGGTTCTGAAAAATAAGAATAATGCAGTATTGTATATATGTACACAAAGTAAAGCATAAGTAACTAATTAAAAAGGTAAATACAAAAACTAAGAAAACACATAGTACGATGCATAAAATAAATAGGTAAATAATAACAATGAATTATTATTTGTTTTGTGTAGTAACTAACCACTTATTTATTTAAATTGTAGCTAGCTAATATTAAGATTAATTCTTCTGGCTATTGACTAGAAGTACATTGATATTTTAGAAAAAAGAATCTTTCTATCTGTGGAATCTTAATGTAATTATATTTCTACTTAAATAAATTCCTATTATGTCTTTTTTAATGTGAAATTAACTTTCCTCATGATTAACTCACTATTTTATTAATTATTTCCTTCTTCAATTAGACTGATTTTTTGATTTAATAATAAATTATAATTTTTTTTTCATTTGTTATTTTACTAAATTGTAATCACTATATAAACATAATTATTGTAGTTAATATTATTTAAAAATAAACAAAATTTCAATCACAAAAAAATAAAAACTAGAATTCTATTATAGTTATATTTTATATCTTCTTTGCCTTTATTCCAACAATTTGGGATTGACCACCCTCGTTCTAAACTTCCATTTAACCTGATCTCTCACTTTACATACACCAACTGTTCATATCATTCTCAATTGCATCCAACTACCTATCTGTATAGTTTTCCTTTCTACTTTTTTCCTCTTATGTTTATTTACTATCGAAACCATGCCTATGCTACCTCTTAAGTAGTCATTCCTTATCCTATCTTCTCCCTGTTACTACACTCATTCACCTGAGCATTCTCATTACTGCTACATTCATACTGTTTTATTTTTCTGTCAACAGTCAAACACTTCAACCATACAATATAATTAGTTTAACCACTTATATAGAACTTAACTTTAAGTCTTATTGAAAATTTTTTTACACATAAAACCCCTAACACTTCTCTACACTTTTTCCAACCACACTTAATCCTATTTCTCATTCTCATGAAAGCCATGTCAGTTCAAAAGATCTTAGGTAGATACTTAGAACTCTCAGCCTTACCTATTACCGCTTATTGTCATTACCTGTTTTCTCCTGTTCCTTCAAATACATATTCTACTTTACTTTTATTTACCTCTAGTATCTTTCCTTTAACTGTTACTTTTCATTACTCAAGCCTATTGTTAAAAGACCACGAAAAGAAAAAATATAATAAACTCTTAGAAAATAGCTCTTAATTAAAAAAAAAAACAAAAATCTAAACTAAACTTGTCTATGACTTCCTCGTTGATTTTAATACAATATTATTCACGGAGTTCACTCTAGTACTCTACAATAGTCAATGTCCCTTCAAATGTGCTACATGGGGGTCATCTTTCTCCATTACTATTTTTTTCTCTTCATCAATGGTATTAAAAATAGTATTCACCACTGTCATTTTTTATTATTCATTGATGACTTTGAAATTAATATAAAGGTTAGTAATAATTTTAATATTAATTTTTCAAACAATGAACTTTTAAATTATTTGTGTAGTCTAAGTTTCAATATTAAACATTGATTATTTTTTTCTGCATTATTATTTAAATCATACTAATATTAAAAATGTATTAAATGTTTATCAATTCCTTTATAACACTATTGACCTAGATCAAGCCCCAGTTCAGCAAATTAGGCAGTCCCTTATAATGTTAAATCAAACTGATATCCATTAAACTCTTCCAACAATTTTACTTACATTAAGCATAATGCAACATTGTATGAAATCATCAAATAGTACAGTCCCTTTGCCAAGTCTATCAAACTTTTGTAACATTGTAGTAACAGTTGTTTCATTTAAGTTGTATCCAAACGTTTGCAATGCAGCTCGAAGTTCATTTTTATCAATATTTCCTGAACTATCTTTATCAAAAGAACGGAAACAATTTTGCCAATCTGTAATATACTTCCACAATGCACCAAAATCATCAAATGATATAGTACCTGTATTTGATTTATCAAACATACCTATACAAATATATTTAAATTAATTTATTATTGAGCATAGGCAATTTAAATATTATAATTTATTAACCAAAAACCAGTATCTTTTTAACAAAAAATAAAATAAAAATGTATTCACATAAAACAAATGAATAGGCCTTTAAAATTGATTTTATAAATAAAACACCAATTATAAAATGTGTGACAATATTTTGATGATAACCTCATCAATTAGTTTATACTTTAAGTATATCATGTCACATACATGGAATTGTGATAAACAATATTAGTAATAGTTTAACACAAATGTAATGTAATTTATACAGTTTGCTTCCTAAGTAGTTTCATGAACAAGTTCACTTTATCACGCCCATTACAATTTTAAATTTTTTCTTTGATGTCGTATATTTTAACATTGATTCTGAAGATGTTTAAATTTATTTGGGGAAACCATAAGGTAGTAAAAATAAGGGGTGTGTTAAAGTGCTCTTTGGAAGAAAAAAATTATTTGCATTATGATAACCTCAAGATTAAACTTCTATGTTAAAAATCTTTTTTTAATATTTGTATTTTGAAATTATTTTACTTATATACTCATATTAGACTTACTCATCATTAATCGAACCGTCTCTGGGTTGAAAGGTGTCCAAGTGCCATTAGACAGTGCAGTTTGCAATTCATTAGCTGTAATGGAACCACTTCTGTCTTTATCCAATCTATATTAAGTGAATACTTTAATTAAATAAAATTATTTGTTTTTATACATCAAATTCTAGTTATCTTACTTCTGAAACATATCCCACAAGAACTCCCTAGAAGGCATTTGAGTTTGGGGCTGAGCCATTTTGAAAATCCAAAATTTGAATGTATGGGACTATAAGACTATAGGTAATAATATAATCTACTAATGATGTACACTTGATGAAAAATAAATGGTTAATTATAATTAAAGAAATGTAGAAATGTATACTTTATAAAGTTTATAAAAATCAAAATAGACAAAATGATTCATCAATTCATCATAGATAGGTAATAAACTTTATAAAGTAATAAAGAAAATTATTAATTAACATACAATCCGCTATGTTCCGCTTTGCAGTTTACGTTAACTATGTGACTATGTAATTCATATTGCATTTTTTTTTTTTTTTTTATGATAACGAAACAGACCCTGGTTCACAATCTTTATGGGTTGGTCAAATAACAATAACAACAATATTATTTTTTGTGATACCATATTTTGGAATGAGCGCATGCGCCATTTGTGATAAGACATGACATTCTAAAAATGGAAAGTTCAGTGTCCATAAATTTATTCATTTTATTCGTCAGAGAACAATCAACAAGTATGTGACAGTAGTGGGAAGTGGAACGTAAGCGGATTTGTCGTAGTGAGGTAATAAATTTCCCTGTGGAGACTTTTATGTATTATTATAATTGTAATTATTTTTCCTTGTGACGAAATTAAACCCAATGTCCATTAGTAGGTCACTGGGTCATTTTTGCAAATGCAAGAGGAAATCCACTATAAGTGTATAGTACTATAATGTGTCTGAATTGGTTTTGTTTCTGTGTGTATTATAAAGGCTGGAGTGGGTATTCTACCATTGGCGATCATTCCAGTTCATCTATCAACACCATGAACGACAAGTCAAGCCAAAAAGTTGAATTTGATACATATGAAGACTATACCAAACTGTCTAAGGATGATAATACTGAAAAAACTGCCGCCATGGTGTCACAAGCAGAAATTCGTCAAGGAGATAAAAAATTTACAGTATATTCTTTTTTATACATACATAAAACAAAATTAAGATAGGTCTAGATATCTGTATATCTAATCTATGTACTATATTAAACACTGTGTGTTCCAGGTTTATAAAGTTATAATTTGGTCAAAAAATGAATGTTGGCATGTATTCAGACGTTACAATGAATTCTACAAGCTTTCTGCAGTTTTAAAAAAACAAGTAAAGCCAAAGATTTTATTTCTTTATTTTATTTATTAACAAATATTAATTTTACAGGCACCTGATTTAAACTTGAAAATTCCAGGTAAGAAGTTGTTTTGTAACAACATGGACCCTTCATTTATTGCTTCTCGTCGAGAAGGTCTTGATCAATTTGTACATCGTTTAATGCATCAAAAAAATTTACTAAACATGTAAGCTTAACTAACTATCGCTTGAAAGTACTCATATTATCGTGTTCATGTATTGCTTATTAAATTAGGATTTTGAATACCTTTGCTAATAAAAGTTATACAGATGATATTAACAAATCAGTGGTGCTGAAGTAGTTTAAAAATTTCTGGCAAACAAGGCAATATTGTATTATATTGGTCTTCTTTGGATATAAAATACTACAGTACTCATAGACCATAGACTCATTTCTCACCTCTAGCACTACCAAAAAATTTGGTTAGGCATTCGCCTTTCCTGTAGCCCAAGTTCAGCGCCACTGTAACTAATCAAGAAATTCCTCAACTAAGTCGTTTACTATTATTATTTTAATAAACCACAGATTAATATAGGATAATATCTTAGTCTATAGCATAATTACTGCAATCGTCTTATTTTTATTTTTATATGTTAATAATGGTATACAGGTATTTATGAAAAAAAACTGATAAATACATATCTATATACATCAAAATTTTTAATATTTTTATATTTGACTTTATAAGCAATATTATTAATATGAGCTAAATAAATCTAAACATTCTTAAAAACAAAATTGTATTTATACATTAATTTTTTCATTTTCATATTTTAATTATCAGTTAGGAACATTTACATTTATTTTAATTTTTAGAAATTATTAATGAAAAAGAACCTAAACTATCTAACGTTTGTTAATATTGTTATGTTATATTATTACTGTATGCTACATGTATATGGTTTGAAAATGAAAATGGTTTATATTCTTCAAAAAAAAATTTAAAAAAATATGATCAATTACAGAGAAAAGTTGTTGCCTCTTTATATTCTTCTTGAGCTTTTCATTAGTGTGGACATTGTTATGTTTGCGATAATATAAAATATTTTATAATTTTTAATTTACCATATAAAACTAAGTAGATACATAAATAAAACAAAAATACATTCTAAGTCGTGTTTTTGTAAAAAAAATTTTAGTACATAAATATGAATTTAATACTACTAATAGTTTACAAGTAGTAATTTAAGTTTAGATTATTAATTATTATTATTTAAAGTTAGGCTAATTTTGGTTTCTTAAATCGAGTCTTCTATTAATTTTTTCAAGTAGAATTTAAAAATTGAGTACTCGAATTCTTAAGTAGCGACTCTAAATTAAACATAAATATCATTAACCTAATACTTAAATATTACAATAAAAATCTATATTTTGTAAAATAAAAATCATCAGCATAGTATTCTTATTGACAATATCTAGGTTTGAAGATATGTATACCCAGTTATTACACTTTTTTTTTTTTAAATAAAACTATTAGTACTTCGGTACCAAAAAAAAATTTGTCGAGTTAATTACTCAACCAACTCTATCATTATTAATTGAAATTTTACATTAATTTTCAGATTATATTGTAATAATTCATACAAATTCAAATCAGTTTGAAATTTATTTTGGAATACATGAATTAATAGTTTTTTTTTAATTTTTCGCTCCATGAAAAAAATAATGTTGTTTTTTCAGAATTGAAGTTCGAACATTTTTTAACTTGGACACTAAAATTAAAGAACCAGATAGACCAAATTTATTTAAATGTTCTGGTACCATCAATTTAGGACCTTCAGAAAGACCATCGTAAGTAGTAAAGCCTCAATTGTATTGCCATATTCTATTAAATATATATTATATAAATTATTTAAATGTCTTGGGTGCTCTCACAAATCTTATCAATAGAGTAATGCACCCTGCATTACTAATAATTTGGCTGCACTCCAGTCATATATTCAAAAAAAGTTAAAGGTCTTAATGTCATACCATTTAAGAATTATTCATTAACAATTTTATTTATGAGTATAATATACAATTCATTAATATAATATGTTAGTTTAATAAAAAGTTGTATGTTTTGTAATCCATATATTTTTTTTTCAAATAATAAATAATCATTAATTTATAATATGCAACAACAGTGTAGATTCAAAATTATATCAAATCAAACGTAATTATAGAAAAAAAAAACCTTGATTTTTATTATATTTTTAAACTAATTAATTATGTTATAAATTCTAGTGCTAATCCGTCAGATTTTGTATTTCTGAGTATTATTGGAAAAGGTAGTTTTGGTAAAGTATATTTGGCAGAACACAAGAATGAGTCCATTCATTACGCTATTAAAGTGCTTGATAAAAAACACATATTAGCTAGAAACGAAGTTAAACATATCATGTGTGAACGTAATGTACTTCTCAAAAATATTAATCATCCATTTCTTGTTGGTCTTCACTACAGCTTCCAAACCAAAGATAAACTTTACTTTGTGCTTGATTTTATAAATGGTGGAGAGGTAAATTAATGAAATATTTTATGTTTTATTTATAATAGTCTAATTTATGTGTTATTTTTAGTTATTCTATCATTTACAAAAAGAAGTAAGATTCTCAGAAATCAGAGCCAAGTTCTATGCTGCTGAAATAGCATCAGCTCTAGGATATCTTCACTCCAGTGGTATTATTTACAGAGATCTCAAACCAGAAAACTTATTACTTGACCAGGAAGGACATTTGGTTCTTACTGATTTTGGTTTTTGTAAAGAAGGACTCGTCGGAACCGAAACAACAAATACATTTTGTGGAACTCCAGAGTATCTTGCTCCTGAAATAATCAGAAAAGAAGTAACTTTTGCAAAAAAAAATATCTTACCAAATCAAATGTTTCAACATATACTGTTTGTTTAGGCATATGGTAGATCAGTGGACTGGTGGTGTCTTGGTGCAGTTCTTTATGAAATGTTGTTTGGACTTCCACCATTTTATAGTTTGAATGTACAAGAAATGTATAATTTAGTTTTACATAGTAGATTGAAGATAAAAGGACCTGTATCATCACAATGTAAAAATTTATTATACAAGGTTTGGGAGTATACATTTTAAATTAAGGATTACATAAATTAAAATCAACATTTTTAAAATTATTTTTAGTTATTGGAAAAACAAAGTAATAAAAGACTAGGTAGTAATATTCAAGATTTTAACGAGGTAAAAAAGCATTCATTTTTCAAAACAATTAACTGGGATGATTTATTGAATAAACGTATTACACCACCATTTCAACCCCAACTGGTAAAATATATTATAGTAATATTAGTATACCTATTTAGCATTCACAGTATTTAAAAATTAACTATGATAACCTAATGCGTATGATTATAAAATTAACTGTATTAAAATGTAATTAATTTTGTTGGTTGTATCATAGAACAGCACATGTGATCTGCAATATATTGACCCACAATTTACTAAGGAATCTGTCAGTTCATCCATGTCGTCATTTTGTGTGGAAAATCTACCGCCTAATAAACAAGACCTAGATAATGTGTTTGCCGGTTTTTCATATACTCCTCCATCTAGTTTAGAGTAGTGATAAACCGACCACAATCGTTCCTACCCTAAACTCTTAGTATTTAATAAGTATAAATTATCGACCAGCGTGTCTTGACTCATTGAGTCTATACTATCTAGTACCTACAACTTCTTATTCTAGTTATTAGCTGTGATTATACTATATCAAAAGTATTTATAATTTTAAGAGGCAATGGATCATATGTTCATATTAAATTACATTCCATTTTTAATATTCAGATATTCGTGTCCGTGCATTAATTATGTATTTTAATTAGTCAGGGTTTTTATTTCTAAATTTAAAAAAATATTACAAGCACAATCACTATTTTATAATAATCTAATTATCTATTGTTAAAATAATATTTCACTGCCAAAACGTTGTGATGAAAATACTATTAATATTCTTAATTTTCTGTAAAAAATATAATTATCACAAATTAGTATTTAACCCAATTTGTTATCATCAGGAACCATTATTTTAAAATTAATTAATTAAATTTTCTGTCATAAATATAGTGTATTTTTTTTTTTTTTTTTTTATCAGGATATTAACACATTATATTTTTATACTAGAAGTAATTATATTAAAATATAATTATATTATATTGATGAGGTATTGTTAAAATGATTGTAAAACTTTTTATTCGTTTACTAGAATATACCTATTACCTAATAATATATTATATGCCTATCTATAATAGCCAATAGGTATGTATTTTCTATTGCCTCTAACCTAGTTATTATATTGGAAATATTACTATATACTATTATTATGATTAAAATAATATAAAGTTAGACTAAGGCATATTTATTGACTATGAAATATATACTATTGATATATTGATTATTGTTAACAATTATATTGGACACTGCCATAACATATTGATTATAATTGATTATTTGTTTTAGTTAGGATTAACTTATTGCAATCTAATATTCCACAAATATTGTATAACATACATTTACTATCCTATTTATTTATTATATTTAACTTTAAAAAAAAAAGTGTGCAATTATATAAAATATTTTCCTTTAAACCTTTAATTTTTGATTTAAATACTAATACTCTAGTTGAAAATTATAAAAGACAGTATTATTAATCTCTTATTGTTATATAATTTAAATATATATATATTTATTCTTGTCGAAATATTTATCTAATTGTTACGTAAAACTATGATATTGTTTATGTATTTTAATTGTTTTACATTGATGAGGTGTGTCTTAAAAAATCAAATATAATAACACACTGAAACAAATTTTATTTTTCTTCATTATACTACCTATTAATATTGTCAGAGTTACACTTTACTCCATTAGAAGAGTTATAGTACCTATATTAAATGTTTATTACCATTGACCTAATGGTAAACAAATTTATTGTCTTTTTATAGATATTGTTAAGCCTGTCTATATTATGTCCATGGACGATTTGATTAAATTCATTATAGAATTGAATAACAGAATGGCCATATTGACAATGAACAATTATGTTGTTGATAAATAAACTGGCATACCAAAATTCGTTATGTGGTGGAAAATAACTACCTACTCAAATTTTACATAAGTATCAATAATATAGTTATTTATCTAATTAAACTAAAAATTAACCTTAAATGTATATATTATATAGGTAGGTACACATATTTTTACAGTGATATTGTCATCATCATTATGGTTTTTATTTTTATAATATTTAATTCATAAAAATTAAACTAGGTACAAGTTATCAGATGTAATACTTATTCAGTTATTTAGTATAATAATTGAATTAATTAATTTTGTTTAAGTTTTATTTGAAAAATTCTCGTTAAATTTTCTTAAAAAGATCTGTACATGTGTACCTAAGTCATTATAGCTCATGATGTCACATTCTATGACGGGCGGATGAACTTTGTCGTTTGTCTATTACACCAACGCTAAAATAAACCTCAGAGAGATGGCGCATTTCTTTATGGTTAATTTGAGCCCCAAACCAAAACTTTTTGCAAAGTTTCAATACTATTATTTTTTTTTTGCAAGGCAAAACCCTCTAGTGACTAGAATAAAAATGATCTATAAATCATTATACTTCATAAACTCATATCTTGCTTAGAAATATTAAAATATTATGAAAAATAAGATGTACAAACTTTATGATACAGGATCAGAATACTCCCACTGTACCTCTACTTGTCATAAGAGGTGACAAATAGAATTGTGTCAGGTCGACAGCCAGTGTAAATTTATTTTTTATATAATTTTCATAGTGAATATAATTATTTTGAACAACTCTTATTATCAATCTAATATTAATTTTCAATATATTTGTAACTATTTTTGGGACTTTTAATTTGTTCATTAATCAATCATATTAAATAATAATAATTGTTGAAAAACAGATAAACTCAAATTTTAATATTTAAAAGAAACAATTTCATAAATTACAATATGTACTATTTCAATTTATAATCATTAAACAAATTAACAAAATTAATATAATTTTGAAGATGGTAAAAAAAATAATAATAATATACATTTAATATATAATGTAACCGATTCACAATTTTTGAACAATTCAAAATATATGCGATTAAAACAATAATTTGAACTAAACATTTTTCTAATACTCATAAAATATAGTGTAAAAAAAACCAATCTTGATTGTTTTTTATTGTTAATAATAAATTATAATAATTGCTAATTAATTACAATTATTAAATTTTATTGTTTATGTATAAATAAAAAGTTAATTGAAATAACAAAACACATAAACAGTCTCGTTGTTGGGTTATACACACATTCACATATAAACATTAAACAGAATGAAAATATTGTGATTACAACAGAATAGGTCAACAAGAAAAATATTAGTGTTACAAAAAAAAAAAATTTTAAACGTGATAATTCTTATTCATTTAATATAAATAAAAATAATTTAACTAACTAGTTTTAAGTAGTTTACTAATTTGAGGCTAATCATTATAAAAAAAAATACATAACAAAGCATACAAAAAAAAATGTTAATTAAAACTTACACTAATACAAGAATATAGAAAAAATATACAAAAGAGTATTCAGGGAGATTCAAATTTTAATGGTTCGATATATGTATACAGTTTAAGTGTTTATAAACTAAATTATTAAAGGTATTTAATGAATTATGAAAATAAATTATTTAATCAACTAATCAATTACTCAAATTATTTAATATTTGTATTCAATTATTTATGTTTTATAAATAATATGTAATTAAGTTTGTATAATAAACATTAGATCAGTGATTTTTAACGAAGTGCGCGAAATTAAGAGAATAAAAGTGACAAATAAACATACATAAAAAAACAATCATTAATATACCATGGTAACCAGATAGGGTGTAAAAGACCCATTCAAAAACAGATAATAATTGGCTATCATTGAATAACAGTATTGGAGTAACTGGTTTAATGTTTATAAACAAACTTAAGTATGGAAGTCCACACAAAAATTATCCTTAAATACATTTCTCACTCCCTCAGAATCTAAAAGTAAAATTAAACTGTTATAACTTATTAGAAGCACATTGAAATTAATTTTTAAATAATCAATTTTTTTATTGTATTATTATAAAAGTTAAACATTTAACTATAAACTTAAAAAAAATAATAATAATAATAAACCATTGAACCTTCCACTGAATACAAATTTTATAGTGCAGTAATATTGTTAAACAAGTGAAATATTGCACTAAAAAGAAAAATATTTTCAATAATAATAAAGCACCATAGAGTGATAATTACAGCAACTAATTGCTCTTTAAGGTTAATCAAATATAATTGAAGTGAAAAACAATTAGTATTGGACAATCAATTTTTTTAGGTATCATTTCAGATAGGATTACCAAATGACTACCATATTCAAAATACAAAATCATATTTACAATCGGTGGGAACTTAATAAAAAATAAAACTCAACACAATTTCATGTTTTCAAAAAAAAATTAACACACATTTAAGTACCCAAATAAATCTGAGATATAAACACAATTATACAAATGGAATTATTTGTTGAAAATAAAAATAATTACATTATTTGAACTCATTAAGTTTAGAAATAGCATTACTACTGGGTGAACTCATAATACTATAGTAGTTTGAAATTGGTCACAAATCAATAATTTAATAATTTCAAAGACATAGATACTTAAAATAAATAATAATTTATGAATTATGAAAAATTAAAAAAACTACATAAAAATACGTTGTCCATTGTTAACACGTGTCATGGAAATTATGGTGCAAATGAGACATTTATAATCATTCAACACAACACATTAGTATTGCTAAATTTATATAATATAAAATAAATACAAACATTAAATTTGTTTTATCGAGTTTTCTTTTTTACTTGTTTTGCTAATTTTCTGCGTTTTATTATCATTTCATATAACGCATCTAAACCTTCCTGAAGGCCATCTCCAGTTATAGCACAAGCAGCTTGAATATGCCACAAATGATTAAGTTCATTTAAACCTAATAGTCTTTCTAATTCGGCTGAATCTCGTGCGGCAGGCAAATCTTGTTTATTTGCTAATACTAAAATGGGTACACCTGTATTTTCTGGAGCTCTTGCGGTACGAGCTAGTTCCATTTTCGCTTCTTCCATTCGTTCTATGTCTACACTATCCACAACAAATAGTATGCCATCAGTACACCTAAAGTTCATATTTTAAAAATTATTCAAGAGTTCAAGAAAATTAAACGTCTTAATCTAAAATTAATTAATGATAAATCAAACTTGAATTTATTTTATTTACCTTGTATAACTTTTCCACAAAGGTCTAAGTTTTTCTTGGCCACCAACATCCCATACAAGGAATGTCTGACCTCTAGCTCTTCCAACAGTTCCTTTTACTTTTTCGCAGTTAAACCCAATAGTAGGAACTGTATTGAGGTACTGGTTGAATTTAAGTCTGTAGAGAGCTGTGGTTTTACCTGCACTATCTAGGCCCAACATAACCACATGTAAACTACTTTGTGGTGTAGGAAGTGCATCCAGTAAGGACGCTGAGCTTTTACCCATGTTGGCCCCCATTGTTTCGCGCTCAAACGCATAACACCCTAGAAAATTGATCAATTTATTATTTATTTTTTTATCAATAATATGTGTAAGTACCATATTACATATATTAAAACTAGGTAAAAAAAATTAAACTTAAAAATTATGTTAGTATATAATTTTTTATTTTATTTCTAAAACCTATAAGTGAATAGATAGTACATTTTATTTAAGTTTCTATATTAGGATGATTATTAATTAATAAATATTTCTTAAAACTTTAACACAAATAAATCAAAAAACTTAGTAACAAGTAATTTAAATAATAAAAAATGTATTAAAACCGTTCTTTAAAATAAAAAACTATTTACTTGTAAAACTATTATTACTTTAGAAAATTAGTAATAATAAATACAACTCTTATAATCTTAGTAAGACTAATTATTTCAATTAATGGAAATGATTTGCTCCAAAGAATTAATTATGTACATATTATGATGTTGATAAAACAATACCTATAACTGTTGCTGATGTTTTTGGTGAATTTTTTTAATTGTTATTTTATTTGTTAGTACTTAGTACAAACTAATATATCTTAATGCATTTATGACACTATTAGATCTAAATATAGATAATTAAATGCATACAACATTAATATCTAGGTACCTAATCCAAATGTTCTAATTCTTTACTAAGTTAATGAAAAAATAATTAACTAACTCACTAATAATAAAAATATCATATATACATTTTATTATATTAAATAATAAATTAGTATGTTTCTACTTAAAAATTATCTTATAATACTTACTCCCATTCAATAATATGTTTATACCTATTTGAAGTGTCTAGCTTTAAAAGGAATATCAATAAACCTATATATTTTTTTATTATTTTTCAGAGTATGTACCTACCTCCTAAAAATATATAACTGGTTTTATCAATTTCAATGAAAAATGCTTAAAATATTTATAAATAAGCTAGATTTCATAATATTGTTGACTACTTAGGGCCGTTCTACCAACATAAAAAAAGGCACTTATTTGATTCATAAACTGAGTTTATGGCTGATAACCGACCACGATTAGTCGATATCTTATAAACACTGTTTAAAAATCAACTTTACATTGGTTAGAACAGGTTTTAGTCTTTTAATTAATAATAATTAAACAAGGAAAATCAATAAAAAAACATAATTTAAAATATCAATTTATTCAAGTTGTAAATTTTTACTGGATATTTTCCACAGTAAAAGTCATGCCTAATTTTTATCTTTTATAATACATTTTTTTTAAATTATTTAAAAACACAAATATAGGGAAAAAGGTATGACTAAGGAAAAAAAGACAAAAAAACAAATGTTTCGGCCAATTAGTTTACACCAACTGTTCAAGAAAGTGACATCAAAATATGTTAGGTAGGTACTATAAATCAATGGAATAATCATACATTATAATTTTTAAATAATGCATGTCCACGTTTACATCAGTAATAAGGTAAATAAGCTAACAAGTCTAATTTTATGCACTATTCACTAAACATTTTTTTATTCCTATACAGATTTTCTGAACATAGTTTTTGAATTTTCTGATGTATGGACTGAGTTAGTTAAATGATAAAAACACTCTTCAATTGTTATATGATCAGCTAATCACAAGTTATATTTTTATTTATTTAAGTAAAATAAAATTATTACAGAATAGTGATATAACCCCGGATATACCTAAATTAAACAAATATAGAAATCTAACTACCTAACTACGTCTTTTTATCCTACCATCTCAACTACCTATCTTCAACAGTGGTACACCATTCAGTAGTATCAGCTCTTTACATTTTTTTTCTCAGATTCATAATTTATAAGAATTTATATGAACAGAAGTATGAATTTTTAGTAGACAAAACAATTTACGTGCCTATTGGTTTAACTCTCGGTTTAACAAATAAAAAAAATTGGAATAAATCTTAGATTATACTAGTGCATTATAAAACAATTATGTTATTTGATTAATCAAATCAATACATCAATGGTAATGACAACAGGTGAGACACTTTGATTGTTGATCAAACATAGTATGATAGGAGTTATAGTGAAATGAACTACAAGTCACTTGGTGGACATTTTTTTTTTATTGATTAGCAGATCTTTTGCATTCTTCTAACAAGCTTCTTCATTTGTCAAGATTTCTTTCGTCATTTATACTATATTATCTACTTGTTAATGTGCTATCTGACCATTTAACTAAGAGGCTTTCCTCTTGGATTTCTAACCGGTATTAATATTTCAAATAAAGCCCACCAAACATGACCAACTTATCAACCTACTCCAGTGATTTTGCCTTAAATCAACTTTTAATATTGGGTTTATTTCCTGTGTATTTACTAATTGAAAATTTACCTGAATCAAATGTGTCCCATCATTACAGGGTCGCATATTCGGCGACTATGGCCGAATTGTACGTCAAATACTGCATTCGGATGACTGTCCACCATTCGGATGATTTCGTTGGTTCTCTTTTGAGATAAAACTCCGACAGCGTATTTTGTGCCTCGGTTGGTGCCGTTTAGGAGCACGTAGAATACGCAAACAACGGGTACCTGGTACCTTCACGTACGCACGAAAATGGCCGGTCAAACAAGTCCGGTGTTGCCCACGCCAAGTAATTCCACTCTACCCACGGCACAGACACGTTCGAAAACTTAATAAATATTCGTAAAGCAATTATAATAATAAGCAGACGATACGCGCACACGCCTCACAACAGTCACATCACATCGTCATCAACATTCACATCCCGAAGGCATCTCGAAAATATGTTGTTTTTTTTTTTTGATTTTATTCTTGTACCTGTTATTTGTTTACCAGCTGATTTCCATAATTCTTATCAACGATCGCTAACGGGCGAAATGTATGCCATCGCTTTTGCCAACCTTTTTTTGTTATGATAAAATATTAAATTTAATGAACTAATTTATTTTTTATAATACAACCTTCGAATATTGTTCGACTTCGAATCCATAACAAGTAATTCGAGCAAAATGTTCGTACGAAATACGGCAAAATTGTACTTTCAATCTAGCTTTTGAAAATTATAAAGTTATGTGTAGAGAAATTCACGATTGTGATTATATTATACGTTCGGACTTACAATATTCGTGGTTGTACATATCTTTTTTTTTTACCGCCAATTTAACGAATAATGAATTAAGTTGATTTTATTAGTTGATACTCTTTCCAAAATCATTGTAATAAAAGATATAACAATATAAAACAAATTTACTTGACTTTTTTTTTACGGTTTACACAATAGTTTAGAACTATTGCTATACACGACACTGCTGATAAAGAAGTCTGGTCTACTATCATTACCATGCGTTATCTAGTATTTTTTTTTCCTTTTTATTTTATAAAAAATTCTATAATCTAACTGTATGCGAATTCATGCCGGTTTTGTGCTAAAAACCAAATAATTTTTTTTCGGGTTTATTTTATTAATAGTTTTATTTAATTTTTGAACCTTCACTTCGGTTTGTGTATTGTTTTGTTAATTTATACGCTATGTAAAAGTTAAATTTACCTGAACATAAAATGATGTCCTCTATGTTAAAGCGAATACTTTTACCAAACAGTATTTTTAGTACTGTTCAAAATGTGGTGTCAATTAAGCGTAATTATTATTATAATTATTAATTACCTAGTAGTTATTATGCCTATGTAGACATTTCACTTACATTTTTAGTTATTCAAAAATCAAATCATTCTGTTTTTTTTTTTCAATTCCTAGGTTCAGAAATTTTGAAAGAATGTACCAGAAGCTATAGTAAATTATTTGTGTCACCAACACAAATATTACAGTTTAAACCTGTACATATACAGCAAAATCGTCAGGAAAGTTTTTTCAAAAAACGTTAGTATAATAAATAATATCTTTATAATACAGTTACTTAGTAAATAACATTGTACACAATATAATAAGTTCTGATAAAATAAAATTAACATCAATCAGCCAGGTTACTATTATTTTATATACGTACAATTTTTTTTTCTCATGATTAGATACGGCTGAACATATATGGAAAAGTGTTACTAGTGTTAGTAATGCAGGTAAAAAACGTGGACGTGGTAAAGGAGCTGGTAAAAAAAGGGCAAAAAACCTTAATAAAGGACAGGTTCTTGGTGTTGGTAAGTATCTAATTGTTTGAATAATGTATAAATTACAAATTATTATAAAAGTGTTTTTTGTTTTGCATAGGTGTTGACAATATGGTATGGCCTGGACTCAATGCGCCTATTATTAAAGGACGGGATCTGATAAAAAGAACTCAACTACCACCAGATCCCGATAGGGAAGCTCGTCTGATTAAGCTCAGAGATGCAATGGGAACATTTAGATTTTTAAAACTCATGCCAACAGAACGTGGATGGTCTGGTAACAAAATGCCTGGACGAAGTATAGGTCCACCTGATTCCATTAATGAATGTTAGTACATATATTGTTTTAATTAATGTGCAATTTTTTTAAAATATTTTTCTCTGCATAAAATAGATTCCTTTGATGGATTTGATACAAAAGTATTAGAATTCAAAACTGTGTTTTGTATGAAATCTAATGCTGGTCGTTACAGAAGAATAAGTGTTGTTGCAGTAACTGGAAATAAAAATGGTTTAGCTGGTTTTGCTTTAGGTAAAGCAGCAGATGCTAGAGCTGCTTTAAAACGTGCAAAAAATAGAGCAGGACAAAAATTAATGTACATTGAACGTTATGAAAACCATACTGTATATCATGATTTCTTTACACAATTCTGTAATACTAAAATATTTGTGGAGAAAAGACCTGAAGGCTATGGTTTACATTGCCATCGTGCCATTAAAACAATTTGTGAAATAATTGGTATTAAAAACTTATATGCCAAAGTAGAAGGTTCCACTAATTTACAAAATTTAGTAAAAGCATTTTTTTTGGGATTATTAAAACAGGTTAGTTTTATTTAAATAGTAATTAACTCTAAATACTTATTTATTATATTAGTTGCCAAAATATTTTTATTGATTATATCAACAAGTAACACAATGAAAGAAAAACATTTCCAGTGATTTGACTTATATTGTAATTAGATATTTTTGAATCATGGAATGTGTCATCAGCACAAAGACTATAAGTGCATAACACGCTAGTGAACTTTTATGCCTTTATTTATTAAAGTTTACTATGTGTGTAACGTCTTTAGCATTTGGTCTTATGTAAATCAAAAATGTATCTTTGCTAACTGTGAAACACTAAAAGTAAAGTAGATTCAGGTGTCCCACAAAAATCAAAATAATTCAGAAGCATTAAATAAATAACTTTTTGTTTTATTGAAAGTTAATAATATAAAATACTATTAACAAATTGTCTACAGAAAACGCATCAACAACTAGCAGATGAAACAAAATATCATTTAGTAGAATTTAGAAAAGAAAATGATTACTTACCAGTAGTGGTAGCATCTCCAAACGGAGATGTTAAAACTGATCCAAAAGAAGCTCCTGATTTTTTGCAATATGTCATGGATAATAAAGTAAGGTTAAGAAAGAAGAAATTCCCACCATTTTATACCAAAAAGACTCATTGGTATATTAAAGAGAAGAAGATGGAAACTATAAGAAATATGGAAAAGGTACAGATAAACTAATTTATATATATATATATATATACTTATACACTTTTAATTATTTTATTTTATTATTAGGCTAAGTTAAATTTAATTGCTGAGTATGGTGAAATAAGAAGTTTTTTGACCGATACATATCCAGAATGTAGACCACTACAAAAAAACGAATTTAAAAAACAAACTGAAGAAGATCAATAATTTATAGTTAAAAAAAAATATAAAAATAATAATTTTATAGTTTTAATAGTTTTTCAAGTTTATTTACATTTTTTATTATCATCTATAAACCCAAAATTGTTAAGTTAATTCAATTTTGTGCTACAGATATGCATTGACATTAAAATTATGTCATATATGTATTAAACATTTTTGTTGTTTTACAAAACTTTTTTAATTTAAATATTAAATTATCTTTGACTTAAATTTATGGTACTGCAGATCTTTCTCCGGCCCATGCTCTTAAATCAACTTTAGGTATAGAAGAGCTAGCACAAGCTACTCTTTGATTCCTAAAAATTATAAAAGAAAATAAATTACAAACTATTATCTATAGGTATCTGTTTAATAATAAAATTAAAGTTTTACTTACAAAAAAGATGGTTTTATAAATGCTAGTGGTTGAATAAGGGCCATATCATCAGAATTATCACACAATAGTCTTGCCAAACTACTCTTTCTGAGTTCTTGTAGTTGAACTATAACAATTCATTAAGAAATATTGATTAAAAATGTTAATTATATAGTTTGTCGATTGTATTTACCTTGATCAAAAGATGATGGATGCCCGCCTTCTTCATAGAAAAATCTGTCGCCCCGTCTGAGTCTAGAAAATTGGTCTCCAATAATGCACACAAATGTCGGGCCCACTAAAGCATCTTTTATGGGCTTTTCTGAAACTCCTCCAATATACAAGTCTACTTCATCCACTGAACCGTATAATCTTGCGAGTCTTGTAATAGTCTGTAATAAAAAAAAATATTGTTATTATTGATAGTATATTCTATAACAATTTAACATTATTACTTGGGGTTCCATAAATTCTTCTAGATCTTTCCAGTTTCTTGCCTTTTCATAACCACATACTTGACGCCATTCATTGTATGGCGGTAAACCATGATCACGTCCTCTTTGGACATTTAATGCTACTAGATCAAGTCCAAAATTTAGATTTCCTTGAAATAAATGATCAGTGATCTGAGAAAAGTACATAAATTGTTTAAAATTTAAAATGTCTAATAAGTACACCAACAATGATCATTAAAATTACTTCTCTAGTGAAAAATCGATCAAAGTTTTGAGAACTTTGAAAAGATATTCCTCGAATAAAGTCGTCTAAAGCACCATCTTTGTACAAACTAAATGGTGCAAAGTGTTGTTTGCTGAGTACAAGATTTTCTCGGATATTACCAAATTTTCCATAACCACTAAATTTATTATTGAATATTATTAATACTTCAGCAACTCTTATTAAAATTAATTTAATATATACACTATATACACTTGAAAGTTAACCTACTGAATATTTCCTTGAATGAGAGTATGCCCAAATCGATATGCGGCAGCTGCGAATGCGTTAGTTATTCCAGCATTTAGTTCGGGATCATATTTTCTTGACCATCCACTTTCTATTGGTGATAATCCAAATTTAGCCATGTAAGTTCTGCCTGTTTTTTTGCGAATATTTCAAATCATTATTAAAACATAAAATTTGATGGGTATGTGTGTCCTACCTACCCAAAATAATTGGCAAAAATTCATTATAAGTAATGTGCTGTACTTGGGCAATTACTATCCTTCGAGTTTCTTGGAATATGGCTTCATCACTCCAACGAGGATTTAGTCTAGACAGTTCAAAAGCAATGCGATTGTGTTCGCGCAACCAAATTGTATGCAAAAGAGCTAAATCGATTTGTTCGTTTACACGTCCATCCCCTGTACACAAATTATATTTTAAAAAACTATCCTAGGATAATGGAAACGAGAACAGCCACTGTTGAAGGTGTATATATATATATATAAACAACGATTAATCATTGTTAAGGAAAAAAAAATTCTGAGCTGAGTTCAGTTGATAATCAACAAATTGTGTTACTTTGTAAAAAATATTATCAAGTGTCATATTTTGATATATTTTCATATTTAATAATATTTGTTTAATATTGTATCTATTTTTCCGTTCTCTCGATTTTTTTCCCATTTATTGAGAAAATCGGGGAAATCAAAAAATGAATTCCTTAAAGTACCACCCTAGTCCAATTTCTTTTCAGAAAAAGTACTATTATTGAAAACCGGAGCAAAATTGTTGGTAGAAAAGTTATCCATAAAAAATAAAAATAATAAACATCATTGTAAAATCATAAGCTTCTTCGCTCCACTCAAAATCTAAAAATGTTTATAAATTGGTATATTGGCATACCTATAGCTTTACTTACCAGCTCTAAAACAAGCAGCTCTACCCGTGTCATCGGAACATTCCGAAGGATTTCCGGGTAAAAGTTGTTTTCCTCTGATGTTTTGCGATTGTAGCATTCCCCCGCTAAACGTTCTTAGACTTTGTTGTGTGCTCAGCGAAGACCCGTAAATATTGGAGCCGTCGAGATAAGCGGTTATTTGATTCATCTAAACAATAGTAATCTTAGTTAGCAACATGGTACCGATTTAAGTGGTGGTTAATTGTCTCAGAAATGTTTACTTGTTCTCTCGGTCCGAAATTACATTCCGGACGTGGCGCCGGCAGCGACCTCACAAATTCCATGCACCTCTCTCCGAAGGGCGCGAACATATGATCGTTTCGCGGGATTTCTATTTGGAAACAATCGGGATGCCGAAGAGAACTTTCGATCTCTCGGCCATTCCTGCAACACGATATTCCACTTCCCATTTGACCCCGGCTAATGGGCGTGTGCGTCGTATCGTGGTCCAAAAATTGACCCCATTGCATCAACAACATGGTGTAATTTTCGGAAGGCGAATCGACGTCCTGCGTGAACGTCACGCTCACTTGTCTTGCGCTCGGCAAGGGGGATCCGTCGGCTGCTTTTGACCTCGGCGAGTTAACACCTACAACAGTTGTGCAATATTATAATCAATACGGCTTCGGAAATTTAATCAAGTTTTTAGACGATTCATAACGAAAATAATTTCATAACACGTGGGCAGGCCCTAGGCAGGTAATCTATAATGTTTCGTATCTACACATTACCTGTGGTACATTATAGTATCGTAACCTAAGTAGGACATTTTCATTTTGGGTGGTTGATATGGATTACCTATTTGTTAAAAATAACAATAAAAAAAAAAAAAAAAAAAGACGTCTTAGGATAATGGGAACGGTTGCAGCCACCGTTATGTGTAATTTAATGTATACCTATAAGCAACGATATAAACTATTGTTTACGAAAAAAACGATTCTGAGTGAAGTTCAGTTGATAGTGATGCTCTGTCAACAATATATATGCCATATTATAGTAAAATAATTAAATAGGCTTTATATGTTTTCTTCAATAATATTCGTTAAATGTTGTACATATACTTACCATCGGCGTATTTCGGGGGGAGAATTCTTTGTAATGCCGTGCTGGCTCGTCCCCAAAGTTCATGTTGGATGTTGTTGCAAGATCCGTCGGTTGATCTGTATTTGTGCGGTTGACAAAACGACGTCCTCGGGCAAGTGTCGCCTAATACCGTGTCGAGGATGCTGAAACTTGGCAAGGCGAACGTTCCTTGTTCTCGAGTCAAGTTGAAACTATAAGTACAACGATTAAAACAGATATTAGCCAACATGGAAATAATTATAAAAAAGTAAATATGATTTTAACTGTACATCTTATAGGTACCTACGTAGATATTATATATTATAACCATTACCTATTTAATATACTATGACTCATATAATATACAGTTCCGAGAACTCTGCAGCTTTTGTCACTGCTTATAATTAGCTCTGTAACTACAGGAAGGTATCAAAAATTTCTTCGCGTATGGTTCGTTGAATATAATGAGTATGAGTAAATGATATGATCGTATAATTAAATTAATACAACGTTACAGTTAAAGACTCAGGGTTAAAAGTGGGCGTTAAAAACGAACAAATCGTTTGCATAGAATTGGTAATTTAATATGGGTAGGTAGATAGGTAGATACCTATATTACGTCCTACCAGCTAATACATAATGTATTAGTTCAACAATTCTTTTTCACGCCGGCACATCAAAGAATAGTATAAGTCTATTAACAGCCTTTTTTTTTTTAAATTTATAGTCTATCGTTATTGTATAATTAACCTAACAAAAAAATTACTAATAAATACAGTTGAAATTGCAAAAAAGCACTAAAATACATAATAATTTTGAAAATATAATAGGTGTATAGATAGTGTCCTATCGAATAGACAGATATGTACTTTAAAATGTATTTGTTTTTTGAGTATTTATGCTTATATAGTTATATTGTCTGTGCAGAGTCCTATTAAGCCATTTACCGCCAGGGGCATATATTTTTAAGTCTCCCTCTTAAGGCTTTCCCCAGGGATGATTTGGGGTTAGTCCCTCTCGAATATGTTTTCTTTTTCACAATTTAATTTTATTAAATTCATGTTAAAATGTGAACAGTTTACCTCTATCAAATGATATTCTTCTTTAGTCCTAAATTTTTGTCTAGGTACACATATACTATGCGTTACTAGGTCGCACGTTTAATTACCAAACAATATTCATTATTACTTTAAGTAAAGCGTTTGAAAATAAAACAACTATAACAAATAATATTGACGATATTGTTTATTTTATTTCGAGTTTCATATTGAGTTCGGCACTCTATAGTTTTAAATGCTTTGCCCCCGCCTCCTAACACGGTCATGAGCCTGTGCAAAGAATTATAAAAATGATATAAGATACATAATATTATAACTCGCCGATTACAAACTATTAATTATTAATAGTTACCTATGTTCTATAACAGTGTAAATGGACACTAAAAGAAAATCAAAAAAAAAAATTGTTAAAAATCATTATAAAACTGAATAAAATAAAAAAATAATAATATCGGCACGCGATCAAAAATCGACGAAAAACAGTGCCCGAAAATTTAATTGCATGTTGTTTCGTGTGAGTTGTCGAAAATCGCACGTTTTCATGATAGGCATTTGTTTTTCACGAAAGTCTGTGAAAACGCGAAAATAAGAAACGTGGAACACGAACGGAGCTACCAATACACTAAGTTAGTGGCTCCGAAGTCCTACAAATGCGGTCAGGCGAAATACATGTCATGAGGCGCCGATATCCACATACGGCTCATTTTATGTGCGAAATTATGGTTAGAGTATGTTTTTATTTTATTATTATTATTATTTTTTTTTTTTTCAATGAGGTACCTATTCATTCGATTCGGCAGCCAAACTTTGGCTTAAAACGAAGCAGCCCTATATGTTTAAAATTTTAAAAGAAGTCAGGCCAATGCCTCAATGCCTTGACAAAGGTTTCGGCGCCACTGCAACAAGCTAAACAATAACAATATCTGGTATCTGTATGCTATTTCCTACGATTAACGCACACACACACCACATCCGTAAATGTATTAAAATATATTGCAATATACACGGTAGAAAAACCTGATTGTTATAACGTTTACAAACTCACTCGTTGACGAGTCCCACGCTGGCGTCCACGGATTTTTGTGCCTGTTCTCCTTGGGACAGGGTCTCGTTGGTGGTCGGGAAGAGTTCTTGGTGCCATGCCGCGGCGCTGCCCGTGGGCACCAGTATCCGCTTGGTGAACAAAGACGTGACCAGTACCCGTCTCTCGTTGAGACGCTGCAGCGCGTTCGCCGCGGCGACGTTCAATTGTTCGGGCGTGAACGGCGGTATTTCAACGGGCGGCGGCGGCGGAGCCCTGATCACGCCCGTAACCGCGGCGGCCGGTTGCTGGTTGGCTATAAATAGAAAACGAATTCCGTCCGAGATGAAAAAAAAAAATTCACGATATCAGAGATCGTTCCTACGTTTTACAATAATACATGGGTGTTATGCGTCGTTATAGAAATGAGGTATACGCTTTTCGTGGCGCTCATAACCGCGCAGAACCCGTTTATTGGGACCAGTTTTTATGAATTATTATCGCCTCGCGCGGCGATCCGCGCGGGTAAATCGTAGATCAATGACACTTAAACGATATGTATACAGATTGTTTTATCCGCCGTTCGGCTTTCCGGATCTAATAGTGTTTTTGTTGTGAATTACGAGCAAAAAAAAAAAAAAAACGAAAAGAAAAAAAAATTTGATTTGTTCCACATAATTTTTTACTCAACGATTTTGGTCAATATTTGATTTTAAAATTCCTTTATAAAAAAAAAAATAATGCATTAAATTCAAGTTTTATTTTTTTGACCACAAATTAAGACTCTTAATAAATCTCCTGTTAAATTTTCAAGTATTTTTGTTCAAGTCTAACAATTTTACTACAAAGTACATACCGAATAAAAATTACGCATGAAACTCGGAAAACTAAAATGTCTATAAATACTTCAAAAATGGCTTAATATTTTTGAAAATTTTACCACGTCTAAAAAAAGTAAATTCTTTAGGCCCAAAAATGAAAGTTTTATCACCAGCCCTATAATGTCTAATTGCGGCACTGGGTGGGCCACTGATGTAGGTGCTCGGAGCGAAGTTTCTTTTATATATGTACATACATTTTTCCGTAGATTTTTTCTGCGCCTTTCCCAATTATAATGAAGAACGTTTGGAGTCGCTGAAACCACTATAAAAAAAAAATGACCTCCTTAAAGTATACTGTTCAGATAAAATGTTCTTTCTGAAAAGCTACTGCGATTGAAAATCGGAGTAAGATCATTGTAAAACCAGTGCTACGCTACGCTCCGAATCTAAAAACTACTATTGAAGTTCGGAGCGAGATTTCCTCTAGGAAACAAAAATAGTTCAAAATAATGAAATCGTTACGCCACGCGCCATAAATATTTCTTCGTTTCTCCTAAAAGTTTTTTTTTTCTCCGGTTTTCCCGATTTTTATGAAAACCGCTTGAACAATCAGAAAAAAACGACCTCCTTATTGCACCAATTAGATCCAAAGATTAAGAAAAAAGGTCTCTTGTAATTTTACGATCGGAGCAAGATTTACGATCAAAAGTTGTTCGCGGTGGAAAAAAATAGAATAAAACAAAAAAATGCACGCACTGTAGTAAATCTACGGTGAAATGACCAGCTTCTTTGAGTATCGTATTCGCTTTAATTCGATTGCTGATAAGCGATCCGAACGAGTGGCTGCAGCCACACTAACCCGCGCAGCATAGCGTATAAATATTATAAACGAAATGTTATACAATTTTAGAAAATTATGATTTTTTTATTAGATAACTAATAATATTATTACGTATATTATCGTCACTATCTCTCGTATCATTTACATAGCAGTTAGGGTATTTTCGACTTTCGCGAGTCCTCGATTCATAAGCTTGCAGCATATATTATACAGTTACTAAACGCAGTCGTCGTTGTAAATGAAATTACAGCAATTTTGAAATGCGTAACGTCTATAATACGATTTTGTGTTTTTCAGCGTTTCTAGAATTCGAGGACTGTAGGAATGTAGGACTGTCAACTGTAGAATTACTTAGATTTCATACTAGAAACGTTTCATTTTTATATTTTATGTACGGTACCAATGTATACAGTATAGCCATACAGACACGTATTTTCAAATGGATTGACGTTACATCTTATTAATCGATTGCGGTATTTTGGCAATACGCCGATATAAAATTATTCCACTACCCTAATTACTGTAAAATACCCGCCGCAGAATGATAAAAGTTTAAAAATGTACCACATTATACATACATGTATTGTGTTAATTGTTTAAATGTATAGGTATTAAACGGGAACCAATTCGGCTCGGGTAAAACACGATTGCTTACGTTCGTTATCGGCGACACCTTTTCAAGCAACATGATTGCGTACGAAGTATTAAGCGTTGTTGAGGTTGTTATTTATTAAATATTTATTGTACGAAACAATAAAAGAAAATTGTAATAATGTTTTGCTGACTAGCGGCTACTTACTATAGTTACCTACTATACCTACTAATATAGTAACACAGAATTTACAACAAAAGAAAGTGTCGTACCTATTTAATAATTGAATTATAATTTCTAATTAGATAGGTGTAGGTACTTATACTGTGCGAGTCCTAAATAATAAATATCTATTTATTAAATTTATAACATGATACCTATATATCTCAATCTACTTAGACAAATTTTGGAAAACACCAATATCAATAATAATGTGTCTTCTCCGCCATCAAACATACAAAATCAAAATATTAATTTTTCGAAAAACCTATAAAATTCTGTTTTAACTTATATTTTTTGTAAGGGGGAAAGGGGTTGCAATTCTGAGACATACTACATTTTTGAAAAGTCGTACCTACTCATTTGCGTCTCGTGAACAACAATATTGGCAGATTAGGTCAATGTATGGTCATTGTTGGTCAATTATAAAAAAAAAAAAATAGACATACCTGGATTAGTGATTTTAGTTGGACAGCATACTCCGAATTCGTTGACCGCCAACTTGCACGGTTGTTTTTTCAACTCAGGAAGTTCGGCGTAGAACGACAGACAGCTGACCAACGGACGACACGTTCCCGATTCGCCGGCCACCGTTTTGCACGGTCCTTCGACGGCATTTGATGACTGCGGCTTGCGGAACGGTTCCCGCGGGACGTCCTGCTGTTCCGCGACCGGTCGCCTCTGTTGCACCGGCGGCGGCTCGGGCGCCGGTACGGACGGCGGTCCCGAGACCAGTAAGGGTTGCTGCACTTGAACGACTTGTACGGGCGGCATCTGGACGCCGTTCAACCTTTCCTGGATCCTTTGCTGCAGGACCAGATGCTGTTGCTCGATATCCCGGAACATGCCCAGGAACTGTTCCTGTTGCCGCAACAGCGAGTCCCGGAGTCCCGGGTCTTGCGGCCGGGCTTCGAGGGCTTGCTGCACCTGTTGCAACTGTACCTGCAGTTGGTTCTGGCGGAACTGCAGTTGCTGCTGTTCGAATTGCTCGGGGAATATTTCCGTCAGGAACGGCTGTTGTGGCTGCTGTGACTGCAGTAGTTGGGCCCTACAGGCTACGGCCAAGAGGAACGGAAACGCGATCAGAATTCGCGTCATGTTGGCGTTTGAATGTGCGAACACGACTAATGCAGAGTAGTGAGTACTGAAGACTGAACACCGAACGCGTTACTCGCGTAGAGATGAGCCGGTTCACGTGGGTCGGATCGTTCAAGGTCAGCGCCGTGCGTGAGTGTGATGTGAATAATATAATATGTGTGCGTGTGCGTAATGTGTATGTTAAGTAATTTGGCGGGTAGCGTTTTTTTTTTTTTTTTTTTGGCAAAAAACAAACCGCGAAACCGGTATTGATTTACCGTCACCGTTATTTTTGAGACCGCGTGCTGGGAAAACCTATGAATAAAATTGCAATCGACACCGAGACCCTTGAGCTGATAATTTTCACGTCAATATACATTCAATACCGCAGTAACGCAATAATTATCATAATTCATAAGTATTATAGTGTATCTACACTATATATTTATCTACATAATATAAATACATATTATATTTATGCATTTAATATATATCTACCTACTAATACCTACTACACAATACTATATTGCAGTGACGGTGTCCAATTACAGCCCAGCGGGCCAAATCCGGGTCGCGATCGTTTTATTAATCGGCCCACCTAAGTATTGAATCAAAATTTTTAAAAAAATTTAACCCTCCCATTAAAAAAAAGATATCATGTTTTTTTTATACTTTACATTTTTTTTCTCGTTTATAACAATCAATGTGTAATAAATAATTAAATATATCGATGTACCTACAATAAATTATTATAATATTTTATTAACTTAAAATTAAAAGTTCAAATGACCCCCAGGGGTCCGCGTGTTGATGTTAGGGGGTCCACGGTTGTTTAGTAATTGATCACCCATATAACACGGGAAACAAAAGGTGGATGCGTTCGAAAATTAAAAACTTCCCTTGTCCTGGAAACCCGAGATAAGGCAACTTGTGCTCTCTTACGTCGAATATCACTGTTTATCTATATTTATTTTTGTTTTCGGGTTTGAGAATGTTTGAGAACACTATGCCGATACCTTTCGAACACCTATTTATCGTTTAAACTTTAATTGTGAACATGAACAAATTATAGCAAATTTTCAACATCAGTCAGTAGTCTTAGTCATCACTGGTCAGATATATTAGGACAGTGTGTCCATTTCTATATATTATGTTTCGAAAGTTAATCATTGCACAACGCATAGATATGAACAAACTTTTTCTACCTATTATTACATAAAAAACAAATATTGTATAGACTTTAAATTGACGCTGATTTAAGAGTGAAAATATCAAGCACGTACTTGAACTTGGACGAGGTTCAAGTGAACCTAAATGAACAAAAAAGAAAGGTTTCACTCGTCTCATAAAGTTCGAAAATCAATGCCATAACCAATTTTAAGTAACTTATAAGTAAATTGTAAAAGATAATTGCAATAATGTATGTAAAGTGTTAAATAAAATTAATCTTTTTATATTGTAATTTTTGAGAAAATTTGTGTTATATTTCTACAAAAAGGTATGTACAATTTAAAAAAATAGGTACATACCTAGTCTATTATAATTTAAAAATACAATCTTTACCATTTTTTAAATAATTGCTCAAGTTAAAATACAACTAATAACAAATCAAAGTTTATTATACATATTATAAAAAGTAAAAACAAGAGGTAGGTAAATAAGATGACAGAGATGAAAATAACATAATAATAACAATAAACAAAATTGGAGCAAAAAGTACGATAAATACCGGTAAGTAATGTTTACAATATTGAACTATATACTATAATGATATCAATTTTACAAACACATTAATATTACAAACAATATGCAAATACATTTATTTGTATGAGAAATTGACTTAAGCCTTTTCATCCTGGGACCAAAGAATTATTATTAACATGACTCGTTCTTACCGCTTATGCCACTTAAACCGAAACAGCAATACAAATTGTATCTATTTTAGTAATTATTAAAACTGAACATTTCAAAATTCACAGTACTTTATTTTTTAAAAAATTAAGTGTTTTGTTTTAGTAATTTTGATTTATTTTTTGTATGATTGATATTATCGAGACAAAATGAATAATTTATTTTGTCATTGTATGAACTCACACAGTCACAATTTGAATACTTGGAGAGCTAAACATAATATTTCGCCACATTGTCTATAGCCCCGTCCCCATAAATGCACACACTCACACCCAATGGCGATGTAAAGTTATTTTTCTACAAAGCGATTGCAGTAAATAGCAAAAATCCCTCAGAACATCCCAAGCCCGGAAAAATCGGTCTTAGCCACTTAAATTGTGTTAATGCACTCCCACCCCCAATATATACAAATATATTTCTATGCTCCTATGATGAAATTAATGGTGTACGATATTTCTAAAAATATAAACATCGCGTAGGTATTTGTATAATATAATAAAGCTATCTTGTCATATGGATTTCTATCGTAGATTGCGATCTATTAGCGGTTACGTGACGTCTTTCGTATGCGTTTTTACCACACGATTACAACAGAATTTATCGAATTGTAACAAATTAGCACTTTCCTAACTACATGCTGTACTCTAGAATTCTATTTAATCTTTATATACTTTATACATATCGCGACTACGGTACAGTATTTATAATTTATTGCTAAATTATGTGTGAAATAATTTCATGGGTTATGCATTGTTGTAAAATACAAATTGAGATAAACATTAATCAATGTATATATAATAGCCGATCCGCACTCAACGTCGCCCGTTCAAATTTTTCATTCCTTTTACCTTTATTTCCGTTTTGCTTTGCCCGTGTCAGTATTTTGAACGAAAAAAAATGGGTGAAAAGTGGCACTATTGTTTTTCACAACAAATGGGAAAAACTGAAAAAAAACTGAGGAAAAACGGTAAAATGTACGAATTGTAAAAGGAAAATATTACGGTATTTTTTAATCCTGTGAACAACTTTTCTACCAAAAACTTTGCTCCGATTTACAACGATAGCACTTTTTATAAAACTGACTGTGGAGGTAATTTCTTTAATGTAACTATTATATGTATGAATATTGAATATTACAGCTCGATGAATGATGATTCAAAATTAGTAGAAAATAGAAAACTAATTTCGAATTTCTGATGTCAATAAAATATAGATAGATACCGATAGAATTGATGTACCTATTATTTAAAAAAAAAAACCGTTATTTTTAATATATAATAATAGTATTACAATATATTAAGTACGGAATATATAGTTCATTCTCTGGCTTACATCACCCACTTTTTAATTGTATTATTATATACTGTCCAAATATTGTTGTAAGCGGTAAAACCACAGTAAAATGTGAAAAAATATAATCACTAAGGCTCGAAACTTTTAGCACTTAAAAAATTTAAATCCACCAAAAAGCGTAGAAAAATGTTAACAAAGCCCTAAACAAATATTTAAAAGAGCAAAATCGGTAGAAGGGTTTTAAAAGTTATAACAGCTCTCTCTAACTTATAAAATAACATTTTTGTAGTGTTGTAAAACCTAATTTAATCGTTTATAACCATTAGCGGGAGACTTTTAAACCCTCCTACCATTTTTACTTTTTTAAATGGTTTTTTCCAGAGCTATTTTGACGTTTTTAAGCGGTTTTTGGTGGATTTTAATTAAGCTCTGATAATCACAAATTCACACTGGTCATTTGTATGTAGTTATAATAATAGTTATAGTTGTAATATAATTTATAATCTATATCGTAAAGAATTGTTTATTTTTAAATAATATTAAGTATCTTAACTATTTATAACATTTTACATTTCATTGTTCAGGCAAATCAAGAATAGTTGAAGAATGCATAACATTAACATTTTATCTGGTACCTATACTCATAACCTGAACATAGATATTTACATTATTCTTTTCTTTTTACAAATGCCTACAGAATACTCCGTATTCTGGTATTATAGTTTTAATAACAATTTAGGAGTAGTATTATTATTATTACTATGCATTAAAAAATGAATAAAAATGTATGCATTAATACACTAAAAATGAATAAATATGCATGCACTTATCATAGGCATAAATAAAGTCTGACAATACATAGGACTTGAGCCAAATGGGTTTTAGACCTAATATTAAATACGTTCCGAATCTAAAACTAAATTAATTCAAATACTATTGGTAAACCCTCCTAAGCCCCCCTCTATTTACGTCTTTGTGCACACTAAAAAGTAGTTAAATATTCATTAAAAATAATGAAAACACCATAATATAATATCAAATTTATTAACTACTAATTTATTTGTAAATATTATTATTGTAAAATATATGATTAAAACAGAATAAAGCCAAAATATTAATAAAAATCGAAAAATATGTAATTATAGGTATGCAAAACAAACAGAAGTACAGACATCACGAAATGAGTTTAATTTATTTAAGAACCCATCCAATAGCAATACAAACAAAAATACTCAAAGCATAAACATATCCACCCTAATTATCACACTATTTATATACATAAATAACATATCCTGACACTGACTGATTTATCATTGCCTAGCCCAGACCACTGAACGAATCGAGTAGACATTTGGCAGACAGATTGCTACTATGATTTGAACATCCGAAAGGTTTTTTTGAAAATTCAACCGCTATAAAGGGATAAAATAGAGGTTTTTATACACTTTTGGTACGAATTTTGTAATAATTTATTTTTGTATTTTCATGGGTCACCATGGTGAATACCTTGGTGACACGGATGACAATTTGGTTGTCGCAGACAAAAAAACTACCTATTACTGTTATTATTATTATTATTATTGTTATATTATTTACACTATTATCTAGCAATATCAAAGCATTATCGGGTCAAATAATCATATTATACAATATACAGTCAAACGGGCATTATTATAATAGAGTATATGAGCACATAGATATATCAGCTATAAAAGCCAAAGATAAATAATATCTATTTTTTTAAATTTTATAAAACATTGCAATGTAGGTACCAATAAATATAGCATCGATGCTTCCTGCATCCGTATGTCCTTGTC